TTTTTTCCTGGTTTCCAAATTCAAATTTCGTTTTCACAATTAATGCTATTTTACTAATTTCATTTGTACTATTTTAATTAAAATATCTTTGATCTATTACCTTCTAATTAAAAATAAAAGTTTTAGAACATTTTTAGGTTAGCAGTTACCTAAAATGTTATAAGTGTTTCAAAATTTTTATTTTTAATTACTAAGTAATAAATCAAAAATATTTTTAATTAAAGTGGAACAAATAAACTTAGTAAAGTAGATATCATAGACTTAAGTTGAAATTTCCTTTTTATAATTTATGCCATTTTACAAGTTTATAATTTGTACTATCTCTGTTAATAGTGCCTTTAATTATTTATTTTTATATTTATAACACACTGATTAAAAATAAAAACTTTAAAACAATTTAGGTTAGCAGCTGCTTATAAAATTGTCTTTAATTTAAGAATTTTAAAATTTTTACTTCACAAATTTGAAAAATTGACTTTGAAAATAGTTTTAACAAAAACTAAAATTTGATAATATAAAAAAAGTATGCTTTTTGTTATGAAACACAATAAAAAATACTTCATTACTTACCAAACAATTTAAGTTAAAAGAATTAATTTAAGAAAAGAATTAATTTTGAAATTAAAAAAGATAATTAGTATATAACCGCATAAATAATTTTCTGTCTACCAAAATAAAAAAAAACTCATTGTAAATAAACATAAGCGCTAAAATATAGAAATTTCAACATTAAGTTAAAAAATTTCCTATTCAGTCACATATTTTTACTAACATCCACTATTTTTCCGCATATCTTTCCAACCACACCAAAACAGGCATCGATGTCATACAAGTAGCCGAACGACAAGTACTCTCCTCCGCCGCCATTGTGGGCATAGCTGTGGGCGGTGTATTACTGCTGCTCTTCATCATTGACCTCTTGTGCTGTGTAACGGTACGCATGGGCGTCATGGCAACAATGTGTCGGCGTGCGAAACGTTCGCCATCCGAAATCGATGACGAAGCGAAATTGGGCAGGTGAGTTAATCAGCAGAAATTGAATCTTATCAACAGCAAATGTTTTTAAGTATACAATATTTACAACAACAGAAATGGTATTGCACTAAAAATATGTGTATTTTAAAACTAAAAAGAAAAAAAAAAAACATTAAAAAAAATTAGATAAACCAAAATTAATATTACAAAATTGTTTTTTTTTCTTTCACTCCCTCTTTTCTACCGCAATCTTTAATTTTGCACACGAATATTATCAAAATTGTGGTATCCTTACTTTTTTCACATTTTGTTGCTGTCTTTATTCGACCAAAAAAAAAAAACCAACCCACACCGGCTCACAACCAGTGAAAATTTACGCGCCACGCACACGGATCTTGAGTACGCTTGGGTGTTTGCTAGACCAAAATCATTTCTACTTAACCGCAATTCATTGGTTTTCGTTTAAAATATTTTTGTTTAACATTTTCTGATTCAAACTTACTTTGAAACTTTTATTTGCATTCGCTCGTCGCCATTTGTGCCTACAACGTTTTGCATTTCATTTCCTTTACATTGTACATATATGTATTTATGTATGTAGAATTCAATGTTCGTATAGTCTTATATTTTTAGTGCAATATTATTTATTTATTTATCCTAGTCCACCACATTCCTAGCCCACGAAATTCGCCCGCTCAATCATTAGCAAACACATCTAGCAAGACATAAGCTAAATTTGTGTGTCAAATTTTTAGTGCTTTCAATTTAAAAGTAATTAATCCTGCTAACTGTCTCCTCTACACAAGTATGTATTTATGTACGTGCATATGTATTAATCCACACCATTATGTGTCCCTTTTCGATTTGCAAATCATTTGCACTTACTAATCCAAATTGTATTGGCAATCACTCAACCTTTTACTACCCTTACCAAGCGCTTTCCAAACGATTTAACCAATCATGTACGTATTACAACACGTTTTGTTCTTGCTATTTGTGTGTAATCCAACTCCTACCATCTTCCAACCCCATTAACATCACCATCCAGCATCACATCCATTTCCTACTACCATTCCATTTCTCCATAATCGAACATTTTCACTCAAACACAACCAAAAACCGAAAACCAAAACTAAAACAAACAAACGAGAAACATTTAACCAAGCAGTATTTACGGTTGGCATTTACCGCTACCTAATTACAGTGGGCAATTGGTTAAGGAGCCTCCACCATCACCGCTACCATTACCGCCACCAGTTAAACTGGGTGGATCACCAATGACATCGCCATTGTACGTATCACCAAAGTAACAAATCAAAACCATTTTGTATTGTAACCTTATGTGCATGTGTTTAAAGTATTTATATCTGTATTTATGTGTTTTTGTTAGCAAATGCACGAGGATACAATTATAAAGACACATACTGTAGTATAGTTGGAATTCAATGATTAAAAATATTTTATGTGTGGATTTATTGGTATTTAAAAACAAATTTCAAATTTCACTATCAGTAGTAGATATTTAAATATTCTCTAGTTAAATTTATCTTTGTATTAGAGGACGGGGCGTATGAGTAACTTTACTCAGTACTAATTCACACAAAGTTACTCATACGCCCTGTTAATCCCATTGCTTTAGGCTACATAACTGGTAATCAGAATTCAAGTTTGAAATTTAAGCAGGCTTACACACACCTTGCTACCTAAGGGCCGGTTACTCAATGTTTGGTTAACACTAAACTTCGATTAAACATTATCGTCGCTACCAACTCCCTGTTGTATGCATGTAGTCGAAGACGTCGATAACGATGTTTAACCGCAGATTAGTGTTAACCAGACATTGAGTAACCGGCCCTAAAGATGCAAAGTTGCCAGAGATACTTCGCCGACCTAAACGGGGTTAGACCGCCAACCGGGGAAACCCGCCAACAAAGGAGATTCGTATCGTCCGATTACACTCCTTTCCCCGGTAACGAAGACACTTGAGGCCTTGCTACTCCCGTACTTCACAAACCACCTGACCCCAGCGAAGCATCAGCATGGTTTCCGTAAAGTGCACAGTACAACAACAGCACTTAACGCCATAAACACTCAGATAACTCGTGGCCTTAACCGCAACCGTCCCTGTGAGAGAACGATTCTAGTAGCGTTGGACTTGTCAAAGGCGTTTGACACCGTCTGCCATTCCACGCTGCTAGAAGATATAGAGGCCCCCTCTCTCCCACAGAGGCTCAAACGGTGGTCGGCAAATTATCTGAGTGGTCGACATTCGTCGGTAACATTTAGAGACAAAACGAGTAAGCAGCGAAAAATAAAACAGGGGGTTCCTCAGGGTGGCGTCCTTTCCCCGCTACTGTTTAACTTTTATATTTCAAAGCTCCCTCAACCACCAGAGGGAGTCCCGATTGTCTCCTATGTCGACGACTGCTCGATCATGGCGACTGGGAATGGAATTGATGACCTGTGTTTGAAAGTAAACGGCTATCTCTCCGAACTTTCTCGCTTCTTCACTGCAAAGTGTCTAGCCCTCTCCCCTACGAAATCCTCCGCGACCCTGTTCACAACCTGGACGAAGGAGGTCAGGCTACCGCTGGGGATTCACGTCGATGACACACGGTGAATAACCCCAAAATACTCGGAGTAACATTCGACAGCCTTCTCTGCGCACTCAACCGCTATTGTCAATAAAGTACAGAGCCGCAACAAGGTCCTCAAGTCGCTAGCCGGCAGTACTTGGGGCAAAGACAAAGAAACGTTGCTGGCAACATACAAGGCAATAGGCCGGCCGGTTTTGAACTACGCAGCGCCAGTGTGGTCGCCAGGGACTAGTAGGACGCAGTGGACGAAGCTACAGACGGTACAAAATACGGCACTTAGGACAGCGACGGGATGCCTCCTGATGTCGCCAGAACACCACTTGCACGGCGAGGCGCAAATGCTCCCAGTTAAGGAGCACAACATAATGCTCTGCAAGCAGTTCCTGATCGGGAGCAACAGAAGTGGCCACCCAAACAGACAGCTGCTTGCAGAGGAGTCCTCGCCTAGGCACGTCAGGAGGCATCTATATGAACTGACGGACGAAGTCCAGAGGTTCATTAAGCAACCTCTGGACCCGACAGCGTACAGACAGGCCCTGAACGGCATTCACAGGGACTCAGTCTCGAGTTATGTAGACTCTAGACCTGTGAATGCCGTTCTAGGCATACCACCCCCGGACATTGACGAGACAGAGCTTCATCTGCCTCGGGAGACACGCACTACACTTGCTCAACTTCGCTCCGGCTACTGCAGCAGGTTAAACTCCTACTTGAGTAGGCTGAATGAGGATGTGCCGAACGAATGCCCGGCATGCGGAGAGAGCCCACATGACTCGAACCATCTCTTCGCATGCCCGGAAAACCCGACAACCCTAACGGCCCTGTCCCTGTGGACAGATCCCACAGAAGCTGCACGCTTCCTAGGGTTGCCGTTAGTGGAACTTGACGACAACGACTGAGATACCAACCGATCTGGGCGGGGTTGTTGTAGCCGCTACAACAACAACAACAACATGCAAAGTTGCCAAGTCCATTTTTTTTCAAAATTTAGTTTTTGATGCAAAATGGCGGGGGTAATACCGAACTACATAAATTTTTTGTTTCTCCTGAACAAATTAAAAAAATGCACTTGGCACCTTTTCATCCTTAGGTGACGAACCACTATCCTATAACTTGATATTTAAAAATGCAAAGAAACAAAATAAACCAACAGATAATTTCTTGAGTAACTGCTTTTACTACAGTAAACAAAGTTTTACATATCACACGTTTAATAATATAGTAACTAGCAAATACCTGGCGTGTTGCGCCTTAAAAGTATTTTTGTGTTTTTGCTGCCTCCCAAAACTCGTACAATTAAAAAAAAACTTTATAAAGTGAGATCTTCAAACCAATCTTCGATTTATAAAGCATTTAAAAGGCCGCATTCTTGTTTTCGTACGAATCGAAAATAAATTTTTCTATAATTTTCTATTCAAAAATTTCAAATTTTCGATTCGTACGGAAACAAGAATTCGCCTCAAAGTCTTCTTTGTTATTTATAAGTTTGGGTGATAGCTTATTCCTGCTATAAATTTAATATAAGTCTACATATCGCGTGTATTAATTCAATATTTCTCGTTTTTGATACTGAGCGCAAAAAATAGTCAAAGATCGGATATTTATCTTCCATAAAAAGCTAAAATCAAATTTGTTTATATTTTGAAAAAATCTGACCACTTTACAAATACATACTACAATATTAACTAAGTTTTGGGTGTGGTGAGGGGAAGTAATAAAACAAAACTACTTTGAATAAGCTACGAAGAACGCCCAGTATTTGCTAGTTGAAGATACATATTTCTAAATCAAATACCTTCTGTTTGACACCCATATTGTAATATTGAGCTTATCTATCGATTTAGTTAAAACTAAATTTGCAAGAAGCTGTGATATTGTAATATTTAGCTTAAATTATCAATTTAATTGAATTAAAGTTTTAAATACACCCTAAAAATATTTTAACAGACAAGTTTCTTAACCCTCTTTAGCTTCATATCCAAATTGTGGTATTTTATTTCTTTGATGAACTTAATTGAATAAAAATTTAAAAACAGGTGGCAACCCTCCTATAATATATTTTAGCCTAAACCTCTTTAGTTTGATACCCATATTGTAATATTAAATTTATCTTATCAATTAAATTAAATTGAAATTTTCTAACAGGTGGCAACCCTCAAAAATATTTTCGGCTACAAGCCTTCTTAAAGCTCTTCCTTCCGACACCCATGTTGCAATATTTACATTATCTCTTCAACTCTCTTTTTTTTCTCTTTTTAAACTCGGTGTTATAGCGAACAAAAAAAAATATTCAAATCGATCAAGCCGCTTTCGATTTTTAGCGAGATTAAAATTGCAATCAAAGTTTCATCAGTTCGTACAGTTGGTATACTTTCTTTTTCTAGAAATCGATAAAATCGCTTTAAACTTTTCAGACGATGTTGAATGGCTTACGAAATTGCTTCATGTAAATGCTGTTTATAATAATAAAAATAGATTGGCGCTTACACATATATTAGTGTTTGCCGAGCTTCTCCTCCGATTTGTGGCGTGCGCCATGATGTTGTCACACAAAGCGGAGGGACCTACAGTTTTACGCCGAATCCGAACGGCGATTGTATTTTTATGAAAAGCTGTTTTTCATGGCAGAAATATACTCGGAGGTTCGCCATTGCCTGCCGAGGGACGACCGCTGTTAAGAAAAAACCTTTCTTCTATATTTTTTGCGATGTTGCTTTGACCATGGTTTGAACCCAGGCGTTGCGGAAATGTGGTAAAACTTCTGTTTATACAATTTTTAATTTAACTTGAAAGTTGAATACATCAGCTCCTGGTTCTGTAAATTTTTCAATATTAGCTGACAACTTAACCAGAAAAACGACAATCGAAAAGAAAAATACAAAGAAGAGATTAGCGATAAAGCAATATCTGTCTGCCCTTATGTCATCCATCTATAAAAAATATGCTATCAATAGTGTGGTAATCTTCCATCCAATTTCCCTACTTGAGATTATTGTGCTAGACTTTCTTTCAGGAACTGTTCTCGTATATCACGAGATATGTCATGTTTGGAAGAGGTTAAACACATTTAGCATGATGGGGTTGGATATGGTGTCGTTGGCTCCCCATATAAAATATATGAAATACTTCAAAGCCCCGATTTCATAATAAAAAAATACGGGTTTACTTATCTTCGATATTGTTCAGTTCTGGGGGTGACTAAAACAAGAAGTTGGATCACCCTTATGCAGTACACATATATATGTATCTCAAAGTTCAAGGCCACTTAGGACCCTGAATGCGAGCCAATCAATGGGCACGGTAACATTCTACATTCTGTTCGCGTCCCGAGGGATCATATTTGAGGTAATCCGCCTCTGCATCGGTAGTCTTTGAGGAACGCTGAGTCACCTCGATAAAGATGTGATTTCTGATCGCTTATTGCGATCTTGACTCGAAAATGGCTAGGTATCTGTAGAGTTACGTGGATTATCGTAGCTGCGGCATTGCATACGGATTCCACTCGACCCCCATTGCTAACAAAAGCTTCCGCGAGACTTTTAAATACATAGATGATCTCAACTGAAATTTATTTAGACACAGAGCACATTTCTCTACTCTTGACTAGTTAAAGTTTAGCTAACCCAGTAAATTCTGCATGCACTGAATGATTCTTGTATCTGTTGTTATAAATTTTTACTCTATTACCACTTTTTTTTTGGAAATACTATTATAACCAACTTTTACATAATTGTTAATTGCATATATTTTATTACTTTTTATGTACGTAAGTAGTATGTAAGTACTTAAAATAATTTTCTCACTCTACTCTCTTCCTACCTCAACAGAGACGAAAAGCAACCGCTGCAAACTCCAACGGGTAGTGTAAAACAAAATTCCACCGTCGAATTTGATGGCCAATTTGTGCACTCGCGCAGCGGTGAAATACTTGGCAAGAATTCCGCGGTATGAATGACACTTGAAGTATTTTAAATGTTGAACAAAAAGCCACCAAAAGGACAAATTAGCTGGGAACACCGAAAATAATGCGAAATAAGGAAATAAAGCAAACAAAATTTAAAGTCTAAACATGTCAAGCAACTTCATTTCTTCAAGATGACAGCTGCATGCAACACTGAAAACCAACAAAAAGAAAAAAAAATACCGTTTCACTTACTTGAATGGATGCGAACAAACATGACACACCAGATAAAGGCAAAAGCAGCAAAAAAATATTACTACCACAAATCAAATAAAATATGCTTAATTTTTAAATGCAAAAATTTAAAAGCAATAAAACATGACAAGCTTTTAAACTATTCCGCTAATTACAGCTAAAAAAGCAGGCATTTATTTGCAAAAAAAAAAGAAATTACTAAATTTCAAAAACATGCGCAATAGCAAAAGTAAATTCCATGCGCCGTTTATGGCACGCAAATTTCCATGAAAAATTTTTATTTAAAAATAGTATCTTGGTATTATGAACACGTATTAAATAGTTATACGCTTTTTTCAACACAATCTATTACCCGCTATATTAAACTGTACAAGTATATTTACAAAAAAGCTCTCTGTAATCGTATATTTTAATTTAACTTAAGTGCATTCTTTGCTTCACCTGCATAACAGTAAAAATCCATTCATTTTTGCCTTAAATTAAAATATATATAAAAAATATTCATTTAGCATTAATCCCATAATGGAAATGTAATAAATAAGTAATGATAATTAATATTAATAATAATTAAGTATAATTTGCTGTTATTAAGTGCTTGTTCATTGCAGAATGCGTGTATGTAAAAATGTCATTAGGTGAATGGCATAAAGCGAGTGCTGCATGGGGCAGCTAATGTAGATTTAAGGATATGTAGGCATTATAGATATTGTAAACAGAGTATTATTTTGCCGTGAAATTTAATTAAAAATAGATTTTTTCTAAAAACACAGTTATAAATAAAAGCTTTAGTTGTAAAGTTCTGCTAATGAGTAACTGTTTTCCAAAAAAATATCTTTTTTATTTTTTATTATTTTTCTGAAAACGAAATTTTATACAAAAAAAACTTTTTTTAATAAGTTTTGTTTCTAATTTATTCTTAAAAGAAGGTACCTATGTATGTATTTCCAAGTTCTTCTAAATAAACGTTTTTTTAACTAAGTTTTTCAAGTACAACTGGGTTTTACTATTTTTGTAACAAAAGATCATAACTAAAATTTTCTCATTTTTTTAAACATAAACAATATTTTCCTGCGAGTACCCCCTTTTTTAATTATATTGTATCAAACATATATCTTAACGCTATTTTAATTTTTCTAAAAAGTAGGTTTATAGTTTTTTTCAATTATTTGCTTTTTAGTTTTTATTCAGTTAAATGCAAATATATATTTTTAAATTTATATATTTTATTAACACAAAATGCATTATTTTTTATAACTTATATCCCATATATTTCTTATCATTCTATTCATTTTCCTAAAAAAAGTTTTACAGTTTTTCAACTGTTTTTCATAAAATTTATTTTATATAGTTTTGATTCAGTTTTATCAAATTTATTAATTATTTAAAATTAATATATTATAAAATTTACCGTTCTTATACACACATATATACATATATATCTTTTCGGAAAGATTAAATTTTTAGTTATTTTGATTTCGAAAATACTTATACTTTATAATACTTTTTAATTTTTATCAAAATACAAATTTTACATCATTCTCTTCGTTTTTCTAAAAAGTAGTTTCACAGTTTTTTCAATTATTTTAATTTATTTAATTCAATTTTAATTATCCCGATATTTTTGTTTTTTAATTTTTATTTTTTTTTATCAAACGTACATACATACATATGTATTTCTTATTATTCTTCCTAGTTTCTAAAAAGGTGTTTCTTAATTTTTATAAGAAATATTATTTTCAAAAACTTAAGCTTCATCTCGTTTTTCCAAAATACTTTTTCTTAAATTATTTATTTCTAAAATTCCGTTTTCAAATGTAAATTTTTTTAAACGATATTCTAAAAATAGCCGTTTTTGTAACTACATGCGAATGTAGACGTGGTTATAAGTTCATATGTATGAATGTAGACACNTTCCAAAGTATTTCCAATTTTTCTAAAAGAATTTTCAGTTCAATTTTAAATTTTTACTCGTTTTTCTAAAATATTTTTTTTAAAAGGTTTTTATTAAAATGTAAACCATATTTTTTCTGAAAAAAGAATTTTGTAGGTATTTCTTAATAGACATATATTTTTCTTGTCATTCGTCTAATTTTGTCGAAAAGTATTTTCACAATTTTCTTCAATTATTTTTCAGTAAATCTAATTTTTAGTTTTTTTAATCATTCCAAAATGAGCGCTTTATTATAAATATGCACAAAGAAACAATATTTTTTCAGAAATTTTAATTTTTAACTATTTTGGTTTCTAAAACATTTTGTTCATCAAATAATATATCTCTTATCATTATTTTAACTTAACTAAAACGTATTTTAAATTTTTTTCAAAAAATATTTAAAAAAAATGTAAGTTAAATTTTTATAATATCAATTTTTCATTCAGCTTTTTTTGTGTAAGACATGTTTACATATTGTTAATGTTTTCTAACAATTTTTTGCTAAAACATTTTTACTTTTAATTGGTCA